CCCACCTGCAGCCCCCACCTGCAGCCCCCGACCTGCAGTGCCCACCTGCAGCCCCGACCTGCAGCCCTCACCTGCAGTGCCCACCTGCAGTGCCCACCTGCCTGCCAGGGCAGGGCCGGACCTGCTGTGCTGGACTCGGGTGACAAACCAGGCAACGGGTCCCTCCCCTCCCGGCAGCAACCGGAGAGCCCCGAGCTCTGCCCCGTGTCCCGGGGGGCTCCAGCACAGCCACCCAGGGATCCCCAGAGCTCACCCTGATGTGCTGCTTGTCTTCTCACCTCCCTCACACCGAGTGGCTCCAGGGGATTTGAGACCGGTGATGCCAGCTCAGACCAGCCGGCACCCTGCCCGCAGCAGCCCCTTCCCTGCCCGCAGCTTGGAGGGCTCTGCAAGCCCTGGCACAGCTGTGCCCGGTTTGCATCCTCAGCAGAGCACTCCTGCCCCCGGGCCCGGCACAGCACGACTGGCTGCAGCTGGGATTTCCCAAGCCTGCCAGCTCATGTGCTCACCAGTGAGATGCTGTGTCCCACCCAGCTCCCCAGGGCAGGGGGAGCAGGAGCTTGTGCAGGCAGGGGTTCATCTTTTGGGGGCACTGCCACCAGCCTTGCACTTGCCCGATGAAGAAGCACAAAAGCACATCCCCCCCATCACCACGTCCCACCAGTGCCACACATCAGGAAAATCTTCCTGGTATGTAGAGAAAGCACAGAGAGCATGGCTGGCATTTTTAGGGTATTTTAGCCCGGCTTCTCTCCTGTAGAAGTGATTCCCCCAGGGAGGGAGAGGAATAAACCAAGCAATCTCCTGGGGGTTCTTCCAGTCCTGTTCCCTATGATCTATGATTTTTACCAACCATTGCTCATCAGATTTGCATGCAGGCACTTGCAGGGAGATCAGGGAGGCTCTCCCTCCTGCACAGCAGCACAGCCTTTGTCTGCTCCGGAGGGAAGCGGCTCCATGTCCCTAAGTGCAGCAAGGAAAGGTGGTGGCTGCAGTCAGCCCGGCACAATCAAATCACTGGGCTCTAAATAAGTAATCAGATGAGTAACAGGAGCACTGCCCATGCCTGCCCCTCTCCCTGCCTGCTCGGGAAGCACTGGGAAAAGGTTAAGGAGGGAAACTGAGGCCCAGAGGGAAGGAGCACCGGTGATGGATTCCTGGTATCTGTCTGCAACTCATCCCAGTGGCTTTTATATGAGAAAAAGGGGTTGTTTCACAAAACGCCTGGGGCAGTGCTTCTCTCCAGGCTGTGGGCTTGTACCATGACCCTCCCTGGCTGGGCATCCCCCCCAGCAGTGCCTGGGCAGGGGACTTTGCAGCCTCTCGCTGCTCCCCTCCCGCTGTCCCGCTGTGACCTCCGGTGTCACTGAGGTCTGCGTCTGTGGGGCCAAGGGTGGACGTGCTTGCTGTGGGCTCTGTGCCATGGTCATGCTGAGCAGCAGTGCAGGTGGTCAAAGGGAAACCCTCTGAGCCACAGAGATGGCCCTTGATGCTCTGCTGAGGAGCTTTGGTTGCGTGGAGGAGATCAAGTGAACACAGATTTCTTAATAAAATTAATTTGCAAAGCCTGAATAGCTCCAAGCCCTGGTGGTTCCTCTCCTTTCTCCTCCTGGCTCCTTTCTCTGCAACTCCTGCTTGTTTTGCCTTGCATTGCATATCATAGTGACAAACAAACCAGACCCCGTCTGAGCCCCTCTCCATGCTGGGTGTCCCTGTCACAGCTGTCTGTGGGCAGGGACTGGCCAGGCCATGGGAATGGCAAGGGACAGCTCTGGGAGAGCCTGGCAAGCTCTGGAGGGGAGAGCACAACCAGTCCCCGTCACGCTTGGGAGCTGGGCAAGCACGAAGGGCCCTGTGCACAGAGCCCCATTGATGGGGAAAGGTCGCCTGAGGCCAGGAGGGTGACAGCTACAAGGGGCTTTTGTCCCGGGTGTGATGGGGATGGGGACGTGCCATCGGTGCTGCCAGGTCCTCCTTTGTGCTGGTGTCACCCCGACACAGTGGGGGGGAAGGAGCTGGGGAAGCTCTCAGGTGATCTGGGGAGCAGAGGGTGCAGAGCCAAGTGGGATAAACCTTCTGGGAGGAGGTTTGGGCTGGAAATCTGGAAGGGGTTATCACCATCAGTGCAGAGGTCTGGGGGGCTTTGCAAAGCTGCAGGCACATCGTGAGGCATTTGGCCATTGCTGTTTGGGATGGAAACCCATCCTGCATCACCAGAGGAGAGGTGCTGTTCCCATGTCCCAGCCACCAACTGGGAGGGCAGCTGGGGCCCCAAACTCAAGCGTTACCTCTGCCCCCATGATGTGCCCTTTGCCCCATGCTGTCTGCATATGGCCCTCACTGGGGTCTTTAAGCTCAGTGGTATTATCTGAGAGCACAAGGACTCCTGGCCAGAGCTGGTGGTGACACCTCCAGGTTTTTTTCAGCAGCAGCTTCCCAGGGTGTCACATTTGGAACAGGAAAGGGAGAGCCCTGTACACAGGGGAAGAGGTTATTTAACAGGGGCTATCAGTGAACAAAATCCTGCAGGCAGGGAAAGACTGGATGCCAAAACCTGAAAGAGAAAATGAGAGGCTAAGACATGCTGGAGCATGACTGGAGGCTGAGGAGGGCTGGAGCTCAACAAGCACCAGTGGTTTTCCTTGCTCCAAGGGGGACTGGCTCAAGTGGATACACAACCTTGCTCTGCTCTGTGCTCTTATGGAGTCTCCAAGTTGCATTAATCACCCTGGCTGTGAACCCCTGGATAATACCCTGTAGGGCTGGGGGTGCTGGGGTCCCCCTTAGGTCAGGGGAGCAGAGTTGCTCCCATGGAGCCATTCCTGCATCCACAGGGATGTGTGCAGGTGCATGTTGCACCCAAGGATGCTCAGGAGGCTTCAAACCAGAACTGGAAACCCTCCCTGGGGTGAGGACAACAGCAATCCATTTTGCTGTTGGACTCTGGGACCAGGTCCAACCCCTTATTTGAGTGCACCTCCAACAGCTACTCAGAAAAGCCTCTATTCCCTGGGAATCACAGGATGCTGGAGGGTCCAGCTGGGTGAGGAAAAGCCCATCTTCTGGGAAAGGGACTGGGTGCTGTGGGATCCCTGCCATGCATGAGCAGCTGAACATTCACCTGTTCCAGCAAAATCTGGACTGCCAGGAAGGTTAATTACATCTTCAGGTTTCTTCACCTGTCAAAGCTTGTAACTCTTGTCACAAGGTGACAGTTGTATACACATTTTTTTGCCCTTGAATGACCATGTTTGGACATTTTTAAGACCTCTGGCAGCACCACAGTGTGTTTCAGACAGGCTGGGGTGGGGTGACCCCTCTGTCAGGCTCCCAGGCCTGCCCTCAACCTGCTTCTGCAGCAAGATCTCAGGATGGCTTTACCCATGCCCAGACACACGCAGGCTCTGTGAGAGCCACCCCTGCCCCTGCTGCTGACAGGGAGTTTCCTTTGCCTTGGTAGGACACAAGAGGCAGGCAGGGGTTGTTTGGCCATGCAGAAGTCAGTAGCATCAGGGCTCCTAGGGAGGAACCCAAATTTTCTGGGCATGCAGGTGGCCATAAGACTCCTGTTTTCATGCTTGCAGCTGCTGAGCTCACTTTCTGCAAGGACCAAGGACAGGAGATCTGGTGTCACTGAGGTCCCAGAGGAGCCAGCCCCTCCTGCTGAGGCCATCTTTCAAAGGTTACCAAAACCTCTGTGCCCACAGTTTCAAACTCCTGGAGTGGTGCTGGTATGGAGCTCACATTGGTGAGCACTTGGATGTGCTGGAAAGGAGGAAAACACAGAGGAGAAGACATGTTGTTCTCCTTCCCTCCAGCTGCTGGTGGCTGAAGCATTCAGGTGAGTCCTGTGCTAAACAGGTGGGTCAGATGATGTGAAGATGAAACAAGGAGCTCTGGGGTGCCTGGTGAACACATCTCATCACATCATCTGTGGACATCCAGAAACACCACCTGGAAGTATCTACAGGAGCTACATCTACATGTGACACGTGGAGACACCTATAACAGCTCTACAGTATTCCCTGAGCACGGGCCAGAGACTGGGGAATATTTGTTGGGAATATTGCTGTATTTGGGGGTGGTTTGTACCTTCAAGAACTCAAGTAGAAATAACTGACAGGATGATTTGCAGCCATCAGCAAACAACATTGCTTTCCTGAAAGCAGCAGCACCAGAGGGAAAACAAAATGAAGCAGGTGCGGGAAGAGTTAGGAAGCACAAGAATTGCATTCCCGAGCCAAATGGACAGATTGAGAGAGAGGAAAACAAATTGGGATGGGAAATGGCTGCCTACTGCCCAGATTTCCCAGGCCCTGGGAGGAGGTGGAGGCTGGGTTCAGGCTCTGTTCCAAGGCCAGGGAGCTGTGCCTCCACCTGAGCAGCTGTGTCAGTGCTCAGCCTGGGGTGAGGGCGGCTTCTGGGGATGCTTTTCCACCCCAGGCAGGGCTGGGATTGCAAGCCCTGGAGCTATGAGGAGCAGCATCCTACAGAAGCACCAGCCCCACCACCGCAACCACCATGAGGAGCCCGGCCAGGATGCAGATGCTGATGAAGACGATGTCACTGGTGTCCTGGCTCCTGATCTCACGGGCGTCCGTCGCTCCCCCCTCCCGCTGCTGGGCATCCACCAGGCTTTCTGCCTGGCTGAGCCTGGACGGGTCGGGGCCAGCGATGAGGGTCACTGAGGCTTCCTTCCTCTTGGGCTCACACTGCACCTCATACTGGTGGATGTCCTCCTGGTCGCCCACCGAAAAATCCATGTAGAGGGTGCTGACGATGATGGAAGTGTTGTTGCGCTTCTGCGAGACAAGGGTCACAGCTCATCAGGGCTCAGAAAACCTCGTTTTCAGAGGGGTCTGGAGGGCAGTTAGCCATGAATTAGACCAGCATCTACTGGGAAGATGGGAGAGGGACTGGGACTCCTCTTTGCAGCCAGTACCACCAGCACGGGGCTAACCCTCCTGCTGCAGAGGAAGGTTTGCTGACCGCTCACCTGGGATTCGGTGCCGCAGGTGTCGAACCTCGTGTGTATTTTGAAGTTCCCACCAACCACCTGGGCCATGCAGGAGGGTGTCCCCAGATAAATCCTATTCCTCTCCAGCTGGGCCACGCTCTGCACGGGGATCTGGATGTGGAAGTCTGTCCGGGTGCAGCTGACGTTCATGGGCACAACTGTTGGGATAGGAAACAAGGCACACTTGAAGGTGTGTTGGGAGGGGGTTTCCCCAGGCTGCAGCGAGTGCAGCAGCTCAGCACGGAGCCATGGGCCACTTCAGAGATCACTGCCCTGTCACACACTCAGCAGGAGACCAGTGGCACCTGGACTAGTGGGGACACTGGCCTTATGGCTTTGCATCTCACAGTACCTGGCCTTGCTGCCACGGGTCTGCCCTGCTTTCTGCTCTGGGGAGAGACATCAACAGCAACCCTCTGGAGCCTTGTCCTCCTTCCCAGCTCTCTGAGTGACACCCGAGTGCCATCACAGGTCACACTGTCACTCCCATAAGCAAGGAAGGATTTCCCCTGTGAGAGCAGCCAGTCACCATCATTGCAAACCCAGTAGTCAAACATCTGAGTTGGTGCCCAGGAATAGGCCACAAGAGCTTTGCTGATGGCTTGCCATGGGCAGAAAACTCCCCTACACTCTGCAATGCTCCTGTGAGAGAGACTCAGCAATGGAATGGAGGAGACCCATCCTAGAGGACCCCACACCTCCCTGCCCTGGAACCATGCAGCTGTGCAGCTGCCACATGGTCCCTGGGGAAGGGTGAGCTGGGTCTCCAGCCCTAGGGCATCCTCCTGGGGGGAAGACGCAGCCCAGGTCCTGTTCCAAGCATCATCAGCCCTCTACCTCCCCCAGGAATGTTATTTTTGATGGGAAGCTGGTGAACAGTGCACCAGGGGAGCTGCTGTTGGGCTGCCCATGATGCTGTGGAGTGAGGTAATGGGGAACTCAGCCCCTCTCCATCACTCTCCCCCTGGCACCATCTTTGGCCCCTCTGGATGCAGAAAGCATCCACGCAGGGAAAGAAGCAGGGAGGAAGAATGGCCCCTCTTTAAAGTTAATCCTTGCTCAGCTTGAACCACCCACTTGGGCAGTATGAATTATTGAATTATTCCTGCTCCCTCTGAATCTTGGCCTCATGAAACTGGTAAGATGCAATAAAATCAATGTGAAAAAATAGTGTCACTTTGCTTCACTTAGTGCATTATAAAACCATTAGAAGATTTACCAAATAACTGAAGTGCATTAGATCAAGAGGAGGAGAAAATGGATCCTCTCTCCTGGCATGAAGGCTTTCCTTCAAATGGCCATAAATCACACAGGCCCAGCCCAAGTCATGGCCTTTCATGGGCTCCAAAGGAAAATATCCACAGGGATGAAGAGCTGTGGATGTGGAAGCTGAAAGGAAAATATCCACATGGATGAGAAGCTGTGGATGTGGAGGCCCAGGTGTCCCTTTGCCACCAAGGGCTCCTGAGGAGGCTGGCAGCAGGGGGAAGCTGATGCATCCTGTCCTGTGCCACCCAGGCTGCTAATTGCAAGCAGATGCTCAACCTCTGGGCAACCACAGTGAGCAGCCTTAGCTTTACAGAGAGATCCTTCTACAAGCTTTTGTCCTCCCCTGCCACGCCTCCAGCAGCCCGTGCCAGGGGATGCAGGAGCCTTGGGCAGCTGGGAGATGTCATGTCCCTCCATGTGACAGGGCTTCCCCCTGCCCTTCAGCTACCATTCCATCTATCTGCAATCTCCTCCCTTGGGAATGGGGTTTCTCCATCACCAGGCACAGCGAGACCAAGATTTCTCTCCCGGCACACAAAGTAGTAAGAAATAAGCAGGAACTAGATGTCCACTCCAACTCCATCCTGTCTCTTACTCCTAGAGCCACATACCCCTAAGTCCCTTCTACTACCCTGGAAATGAGGCAGGATTTTGCTGCTGAGGGATGAAAGCTCATAAACTCAGGGCCAGCCACCCC